TGAGGAGGAGCGTGCACACTCGAGGCAGGGGGGCTACGACCCTTCCACATACCAGTGAGTGGGCTTTTGGTTTTCCGTATATACCTATATACATATTAATTCCCAGAAATTAGTATAAATGCTTCGTTATATGCCATTCCTTTTATATAATTAGTGGTTATGCATGATTAGTGGCATATACGTTTATTTATATATTCAATTATGCATATGTCATATATATAAATGTTGGTGCTGTGGAGGCATAGGTAAGTGCCAGGTAAGCGTTATTTAACGATTGCATTAAATAGTGGTTAGAGATGCTTAGAGAGCTCATAACCTGCACCCCCGGTATTAGTGCTCCCGCCCAGAGTAGGGCACAGTCCTTCACGTGTTGTTCACCTCCCGCACCACACGCTCAGCTTGGATCCAAGTTAGGTGCACAGTCCTGTCGTACAGACCACTATAGGTGGTTCCGACTCGTAGGTGACCCGCGATTATTCGCACAGTCTTCACGTGATCGTAGCACTAGAGCGTTTATATGTATCGCACCCAGGCCTGTCGTACAGACCACTATAGGTGGTTCCGACTCGTGGGCAGGTTTAGCTGTTGAGATTGAGACTTGAGCTCTAGATTCAGCCGTACAGGTCACTTTAGGTGACTCCGGCTGCCAGTGATAAGTTTTGACACGGTTTATACCTGAGCACTTGCATATTATTATGAGGTTTTGAGCATGACGGCATACCTTTGAGCATGATGGCATACCCTTGAGCATATTTGGCATATTTATACCTACGTATATATGTTTATTTTCTGGGAAGTATACAGGTTTTACGGCGAGGGGTTAGAATGTATTTTATGAAATGGTTTTCAAAGAATTTGTTTTTGCCCACTCACGCTTTTGTTTTGCGCCCCTCCAGGTTCTAATAGCTTAGCGGGTTTGGTGGTTTTCCCAGAGGACGTCCCGGCATTTCTGACAGACACTCACCTATGTAGGGTCACCTTCGGGTGCACTATTGTTGTATCGTTTCTTTTGGACTGCTGTAGGCTGTAGGCTCTGAATTCAGCGACTTACTTACGCTAGCACATACTTTATCACATTCTATTTGCTAGTTTTAAATTATTCGTACTTTTACATTACTGTTTTTAGCTTCCGCACTGTGCACATGGCTACGTCACTTCCACGTGACGGCCAGCATGCCCTGATCTCGGTTGGGGTGTGTCATCAATAGGCCAGTGTTGGAGTACAACCTCCCTCTCCCTATAAGGTAAGAAACAAATATTTGGAAATGGAGTATAAAGACATTGGCGAGTATGTTAACAAGTTGAGGTCAAAGTGGGAAACTAATGGTTGCACAATCATGTGTGATGGATGGACTGGCCCAACAGATTGTCTATCATAAACTTCATGGTATACTCCAAGGGAAAGACAATTTTTTTGAAGTCTGTTGATGCTTCAGACCATATAAAGAACTACAAGTATATTTACAAATTATGGAGGGATGTAATCATGGAGGTGGGAGAGCATAATGTTGTCCAAGTCGTGACCGACAACGGTTCTGCATTTGTCAAAGCTGGAAAAAAGTTAATGAAGCATCATAATGTGTTTTGGACATCATGTGCAGCACACTGTATTGATCTCATGTTTGAGGTAATGAGGAAGAGAGAGAATATTGCTAATGTCGTAAAAAGAGCTAGAACGATCACAAATTATATTTACAATCATGGTTGGTTGTTGCCAAAGATGCGTGAATTTTGCAAAGGAGAAATTATTCGTCCAGCTACCACTCGATTCGCCACCAACTATATTGCATTAGACAGCCTACTTAAGAAGAAAGTAGGGTTGAAGCAACTATTCACTAGTGACAATTGGGCCAACCACAATTTCAGCCGCTCAAATGCAGGTCGTATGGTGGAAAGTATAGTGCTTGATTTTGGACTCAATCAGAACATGTGTGCCAAGTGTTTGAACCTCTTTACAAAGTTTTACGGATCGTTGACACAGAAGTGTATCCTACTATGGGGGCAATATATGAGTTGATGTGTGTAGTGAAGGAGGACTTGGAAAGAAAACATGGTGCAAGGTGGGTCATAAAGATAATTGATGATCGATGGTATAAAACATTATACCACGATTTGCATGCAGCAGGTATAAATTATGTCATAATTTGCAATTCATTTCTTTAGTTGCATCAATATTATTTCTTTTATCAGAGTATGTGTTTCTTTGAATAGCATATTATTTGAATCCTCGGTACCAATACAGACCCGATGTTGGAGATGATGGTACCCTTATACGTGTTGTACATAATGTATATACTCTAAAGTAGACCCTGCATCACCAGCAGTTGGCCAATTTGGAAATGAGGAACACAATTACTTAAATTATAATAATTACATTGTTGGATTAAACTAACACGATTTATTGAATTTAGCTAACATGGTTTAAAGATGCAAGAAGAACTTTTGGAGAACTAACATCAGTTGCTGCTCGAACAAAAATGTCTCCTAGTGAGTGTAAACATATTTCACTATCAGTTTATAATAGAATTTGTTGGAGTTATTAGGCTTATCAACATTATTTTTCATTATAGTTGAATGGTATATCATGTATGAGACTGATGCACCAACTCTGAGAAAGTTAGCAATCAAAGTATTATCACAAACAGCTTCCTCATCTGCTTGTGAAAGAAATTCGAGCACATTTGCACTCATACACACAAAGCAAAGAAATAGGTTGGCTCATAGTAGGTTGGGAAAATTAGTTTATTGCTACTACAACATGAAGCTTCAAATTCGAGATAAGGAAGTAAAAATAGATCATGTCGACTGTGGTGACCTACTAGATGTGCTTGATATTGTTGCTGAAGATAATGATATAGAGGGTAACCAACTTTATCAATGGATTAGACCTCTTCATTTAGATGATGATGAAGGCAACCCAGCTCTAAGAGTTGCTAAAGAAGCACGTAATGAAAGGCTAAATGTAGAAAGAGTATTAGAGGAGGAGGTGAGATCTAGCAGCACTGACTCTTTGGAAGAACTTTTGTGCCTAAGACCAAGAAACACTGGAATTCCACCTTTTTCCAATCCTACACAACCACAAGATCCTGCTGATACTAATGATAGCTCTAGTACAAGATCAGGAGACTCACCTACCACTGAAGGTGGGAATGATGAAGGATATAGTGGAGCTGGAGGTAGTGGTGGATATGGAAACTATGTTGGACCACCTCCCGGATTTATGAGCCCCTTCACTGGTGAGGCAAACTTCATGCATGCAACACAGGATGAGGACCATGGCAGTAGGCGGGCAGGACCAAGAATTGGTGCCATAGGGAAGGACTATACTCGTAGAGAAAGAGGCAAGTGGACTTTGTCAAGTCAAGAAGATGACTCGTTATCTATAACTTCGGACTCTGTTGGAGTGGGAAGTAGTAACTATGGTTATACTCATAACCAACCATTTCCCTACCCTTCATATCCCATTTCTGTTGGGATGGAATCGAGACTCATGGAAAGAATCCGAGACTCAATCTTCAAATGATTTTGCTTATGGACAACGTCAACCAATCTTGGATCCATATGGGTGGCATGTTAACAATTACATGCAAAACTATTCTGGGGATTTATCATTTGATGACTACTCTTCACAATACACTTAATCTACACATAGAGATGATGAAGATAGTGAAAATTTTGAACCTCATAGGAACTCTATGTGGTACTAAGTCACTCATTTATCTTACCATGCAATGTATAAAGTGTAAAAATATTGTACTAATTCATTATTTATAAATGATTATGGTGTGTTTAAACTTCTTTCATTAATTACTACATATTTTCTACACAGTTAAATCCATCATGCAATGCATTTCCTTCCAATTTTTTGTGATAAACTAATAGATAATTGACTAAACAAACATCCAACAAAGTTTCAATAAAAATTTCCAAGTTTTTCTTACAATTTCCGTGGTTTTTATTCAATTTTTATCGATATCGATAATATTCTGATATTTCTATCAAAATTTCCGTGTTTTTAGACTACTGATATTTCCGATATCATCGATATTTTAGACCTTGGTTGCAGTGTGGTTTTGGAATCTCATTCAGCTCCATTACTACAGGTGAAAGCCAAAGGTCTGCAGCAGGGCCATGCAGTTTGACTAGTTAGTTTTCATTTATGCACGATTTGATGGACGATAGTCGTTGGGGAAACAGAATTAGATTGTAATGGAAGGACCATATGCATATATGGCCTGTCATATTTCTTAGAAGTAGCTTTGGTATAAAAAAAAACCTCTCATTGATCTAGAAGATGAATATAATATTAGGGAAGATGTTACAGATAAAAGCTGATTATTTTTAATTTTATTCCTCAAAATTAGTGTCAGAGAGAGGGGATCGACTTCTTTGGACTTCATTTATGTGTCAGAAAAACTGATGCTAGCGTTGACATTTGTAAATGAAGGCTTTCAATTTGAAATGCTTATTCTTCCGTCCTCTGTTTTTCTACAACCTTTAAAGTTCTGGTGTGGTACTTAACTAGCCTTCTTCTTTTCTTTATCTTGATTTTATCTAAAGTAGAAGTTTTTAGTGTCATTATCATACGATTACATAGTATTATTTATGTCTGTATAAAGTAAAATTTCAACTTTTTTTATGATATCAGAGCATGTTAATAAGTCTAACATCACTTAATATGTGTTGTTTGTTCGGGTTTAAATGGCTCAACATGTGAGGGGTGTGTTGAGAGTGTGAATCTCACATTAGAGAAGTAAGAGACTTTGAATGTGCTCATAAGGAGTCTGACTACTTGGTGTTATATAGTGGAATCTCAACATCCTTTAACACAATCATTCATGTTTTAACACATGTATCTACACCTCATTCTATGAATTTCAACATTATCGTTTCCTTATATTTTAAGATGTGAATTAATTCCAGTGGTGTGACCACCACATTTGTCATATAAATTGTTATTTTAACTCAATGTTTGAACAATACTCATTCAATGATTGAACAATAGGATCATCCATAAATATTTTACTTCAATTCACTACCTACATTACAATCTTTTAATACCATTTTGCAGTAGGCCAGTTTCACCATGTCTCACACTAGGAGTTATAGTTGTAGAGCTCACGGATGTTAATGGGAGAGCTAATACTTTCATCTCCATCAAGTAACCCCTCTGCTATGATCATATTAGCAGCTTCTGTAGGATGATATGCATCCCAAAACACGTACTTCGATCGATCGTCACACAATGCAGAGCTTCTGCTTGCATCGCGGCTCTTAAAGCAAACAAACGGCGGAAAGTACCCTCCACAGCATGGTCCATTTGCATTCGTAAACCCTAGCAATATCAGATTCAAAAACCAAAAGAAAAATAGATCAATGACCTTGATCATATACTAAAAATGAATGGAAGGGCATGTCTACTTTTAAAACCCTAGTTACCAACCTACCATATTGATGATAATTTACTATGATCTTCGTAAAGATATCAAAGGAGTTTGCATAGACAAAGATCGCTTCGGGACCCAGCTCTTGGTTAAGTTGATCCAAAACTCCATTAAGCTTCGTGTTGTAGCCTTGGATTAATTCATTCACCTCAGCAAAACACTGTCCACTTGGTAACAAATGGATGGCACGAATAAATGGTATGCATCCTATGGGTCCAATCCCTACCACAACGAACTTTCTAGCTCCCAGCTCGTGCAGTCGCTTCACAAATCAAAACATTAAGGTTAATTAGGGTTTTTAGGGGTAGTTTATTAAGCCTTTGTCATTATATTAGAGAGACGGACAGTGACTCTTTAAATTTGCGTCTTATGACATGTGTAGTGGTTAATCACAAAAAATCTTGGTGTCACTAAAAGTTGAACCACTCAATACAATTCATGTTTAATTAAATTTGTCAATAATCTGATATGTGATTGCTGTATTCTTCAACATTTCAATTAGGTGATTGGTTTTAGACTGTACCTTAAGCTGTATGGTCAAGTTAGAGACCATGAAATCTTGGAACATGGAAGGAGAGACCTTGTCATCACCAAAAAATGGTATGGTTGGTTGGAAATAGTTGAGAACATCATTGGATCCAATTGTCACCGAGAAGATTGCCTTCTTTAAGAATTCCTTTGTTTTATTCTCTCCCATTATTTTCACCATGTCATATCTGCTTTCCTCAAAATTATTCACTTGCTCACGCAGTGGGACTCTTCCAATCTGTATACAACAACTTCAGAATATTTTTTAAAAAATTGTATATATCGTGATTAGTGCTAATTAAGTATTACTTACAAACAAAACTCCTGTTTCATCCAATATTCCAGAGGCTCCAGAAGCATAATTAATTCCTTTGAGGATTGAGTTTGCTTGAGTGTTTGGGGCTAGATAAGGTGGAGGAAATGACTTGGCACCAAGAGCTTGACCTGATGGCATCATGCAAATTAATCTACAATTAGTGTTAAAAATGGTTAACTAATTCTGAATTGATAGTCAACAAACACCAATTTAAAAGTCAATTTTAATAAACTTCTAGGCCCTCTAAAAATAAACCTTGTAATCAATGGCTTCTGCATTATCACGTGACTCACTGAAATAAATAGCAAAAACTCATGTGACCCAATTTAAAACTCATGCAGTATGATTAAACTCCACTTAATCTTCTGAGTGTTTTGTCTTGTTGGCTTAAGAGATGACTATTAAAACTCGTTGAGTTGATCATCAAAACGACAACTTCGTATATAAAATTTGCACTCAGAACTTCATTAATAAAATAGACTGATCGATGATACTGAACCAAACGATCATGCGCGCTATATTAAATGACCGAAATTTGGTTGACGGGCTGTTAGCAACTGAGCTATAAGTGAACAGTATGAGAGCTACAAAAACCAATTAGCTGTGGAAATATTCCTACCAAAACTGAAATTTCTAAAATAAGTAACCGTACCTCCAACCTCAAAACCATTTTAAATGAGTAGTTATACCAAGTGCGGCTAAGTTGGTGGGATTAATCAACATTTAGTGCATTTACCTACAATGTCCGATATCGTTCGACCATTTGTGAATCGTCCAGTTGGTCGACCACCAGAAGGCTTGAAATCTATTCCATAAGGAGGAGAATCGGCCTTTGAGAGTGTAAAAATGTAGTCATTGTTTCCTGCGTCCACTAGAGAATCTCCAAACACAAATGAAGTGAAAGCAAAACATGGAAAGGCACTGAAAAGCACAACAAAATTTGGGCAGATTGCACATAGAAGAATGAAATGAGAAATATTAAGGGCCTCCATGTTTCAATATTGTAGCAAGTTGGTGAATTAGTTTTACTTTCATGGGTTATTATAGATGCTTTATTTGCATGTCCTTTTTTAGGAGATATTTTTTTTGTCATCAATCCACCACTCGGCAGACATCTATTGGATGGACATTCACGTTTTTTAAAACAAGTATCAAAACGTCTATTGAATATTCAATGCCATTAGAATGGTTCATTGGTGTCAAGAAAGTTTCTTCCCATTGAAGTCACATGATCTCTGAATAGGTCATTGTATCATTTTGGATGACTTAATTAATATTTGGAATTGGTCATGACCTAACTAGCCATGGTGGTTCCATAATTTATTCAGTTTGATTGATTTGGTGGGCTCTCACCAACGGAGTAGTATTCTCTTCGCTACTATTCCCATCTTCTTCCCTTCCCTTCCTTTTACATATTATTTTTTGTCTTATTGTTTCTATAAAAAAATCAATATAAGATGTCGATGTGACTAAACCGTAACCGTTCAAATAAAAAATGATGGAAGAAGAGATAAATTAGGAGAGAAGAGAATCCTTTTCCCTCACCAACTATGTGCTGCAGAGAAGTAAAGTACCAAAATTAAATCCGCTGCCAAAGGGGATGCATATGACAAGATTGTTGGATTTATTATTATTTTTAGCAGATAATGATTTCGTATAGATCTGTGGATAATATGATGCTTTTGATTTCTGCAGGGTCCCGTTAATCGTTATTTCGGGAATTAGATTTTCTCCAGATTCAATAAAACCGAGCCTGCTGAATAGGCAATCCGGATCGTTGAAATTTGATCCAACGGCTACAAACAGGGGACCCTCTAAAAATTATAATAATTGTAGCCGTTGGATCCAATTTCAACGGTCCGGATCGCCTGCTCAGTAGACTCAGTATATATGGATCCGAACAAGATCTGGTTATCTTATTTCCCTCATTTGGGTTACTTGTAATTGAATCTCTTGGGACTCGTTTATGTAAGAGTAATCGGAATAAAACGGCGGAATTGAATTCCCAATACAAAATAATTAGGTGTTTACCAGATATTAGGGCTAAAAAATTTGATAGGACTCACGTAAATTTAAGAATCCAACTCCAAAACTTGGAGAAATTGGATTCCATACAATTTGACAAGAATTGAATTCCGGGTTATTGAAAAAATAAGAATGGATTTTTCCTCCCTTTAGACTCTCAATTATTTCTAAAATTTCAAAATTGCCCTTCGCAATAACCCAACACTAAATTTTGTTTTCTCAGTGTAAAAAAAAAATCAAAAATAGAAAAAAAAAGAATTTAAAATTTTCTCACAAAATTAATTTGAAATAAAATAAAATAAAATTTATAAAAAAAAAAATAAAAGATTTAGCATATAAAATAGGTTACTAGAATATAAGTATTTTAGTAATTACATTGATTTTCATTTTGATTCATGTGAATTAGTAAACAACTTATATAGTTTAGTATTCTTCCTACTCCGATTCCTGAAAATTTTAGTAAACAGTTTTTGCATGAATATGATTATGATTCCACCCCATTCCAACTCAGACTCAATTCAATTATTTCTCAATTCATTCTTCTCATTCTGATCATGAATTTGTAAGCGAGTCATTGAAGATCTTAGTTGCAGGCGATACTAATTGCTAAAAATGTTCATGTATGGTGTTAAAACACAGACGAAGTCTGGATTTGGTTTAATATGTATTTGTTCAAAATGTTGCTTTTGTTCACGGTGCCAAGGGATGACTCAAGAGAAAGAGACAATAGGCGCCACTGTTGGAGGCTACCAACAGACAATATTTGTGTTTTGAGTGAGTGTGAGAGTTGCCCATAAATCTGACTTTTTAACCAAATGATTGTGCACTGAGTGGGACGCTGGTTCGATTAAGTTCCTTTTTGTGCCTCGAGTGAACAATGACTTAAAATTCAGTGTAATTTCGTGTATACTTACATAATAAGTAAATAAAATTGAAATGGAAACTAAAGCGAGAAACAAAGTACAATCATTTCGTGATGAAAGTCAAGATTACAAATGTTTACAAAGTAAAATCTAGGCCAAAGAGCTGAGTTACATGACTTGAAATGTAAATTGACTGGCAATGTATTGAAAGTAGTAAAACTTTAGCAAGCCATGAAAGATAAGATAATGCTAGAGGAGTCCATCGAGATCACTGGTATGGGATTAGACTTAGTACAAAACATATGCCTCATAAATGAAATCAGGGTGGTTGGAATGGTACATCAACCAAATCATACCACAGGTTGGCAAAGCTGTAAAAGTTTTACATCTCAACGATCGTAAGCAGTGTTTGCTTCGAGGAAGGCTTTGAGATTGTGGTTGAAGGGTAATTGAGTTTGTGCATATAAGCAGTTGGATTGATTGAAGAATCACTCAAGGTTTTGTTTAATCGTAGAGATTAAACTTGATGAAGGTCCGGAGTTTGAAGGCCTTTGGATCTATTTATAGGTAGTGGAGAAGGAGCAACCTCGATCATATCAATGAGCTAGATCAGGACTAGATTGGTCATTTGACATTAACAATGACTGTAATTTCTGGTAGGTGACCTTCAGCTCGGTTTTGGTGGTGGTTCGTATGATCCGATAGTAACATTAGCGTGTCATGATGACGCATGCATATGCATTTAAGAATGAGAGATATTTCCAGGTCTAGTTGTTTGCGTGGTAGACGTGCCTCAGTGATTACCCTAGGCCAAGTCCTTAGACGTGTTGGAATGTAGTGAAGTGGTCATCTGAGCCCTGGGATAAGATCCTGAATTGAGCTTCAAAATTGGTGGGCCAAAGTCATGCGACTTTTGCATAAATAAAAATAGTTTGGCCCTGTAACAAACCTTATTTCTAATTTAAAAAAGAAAAATCTTTTAGTCAATTGATCTATTTTAAAGATTATTATGGTGAAAAATAGTGGTCGTGAACAATTGGTTTAATACGGTTTAGAACCTAAATTATTAATTAATCTAACTGTCTTAATTGCAGATGATTTCTCAAAAGGGTTTTTGAACATTGGTCCTTGCAAAAGATCAAAAATTTAAAAAAACTTGGTGCTAGATTTTATATTCAATTTAATCCCTTGAAGTGTACTTTTATTAAATTTATATTCAATTTTTGTTATTTAATGTGTATTTTTATTTAATCTCTCCACATTAAAATTTAATTTTATTAATATGCACATATTTAGTTCTTTAATTATAAATGAACATAAATGAGAAAATATTAAAAAAATTTGTGATACAAAATATGTAAATACATAAATGTACATAAATAATTGTAGTGAAAAAAAAAATACTATGTACGCTTTCACTACTATAATATTAGCTTTAGGTGGCGGATAATAGTGGCGGATATTAGAAAAATCATGTTGGTTATATCCGACATAAAGTCCTGGCGAATATTTAGTGGCAGATTCTGATGGTTTTTAACTTAATGGTGGAGGTTATAACCTACAGAAATTGACTATTTTATTATTTTACTTTCTGGCGGTTATTATTTTAGTATTCTGGCGTTTGTAACCGACAAAAATGAAAATTTTATTAGTTTAAAATGTTATATTGATTAAAAATAAATAAATAAACACATATTTTAATTATTTTTTTTCACTCATGACCCTAAAGTCTAATGAACCCAATTCCCATGGGCCATAAATTTTCTGAGAGAATAATAACAACAGACTACAATCTAAAGCTCAATCATTTTTGTAATAAGGATTATACTCCCTCACAGGCAAGCAACAAGATACAAAGAAATTCAAACAATTTTTTTCAATGCATCACAAAGCACATTGTCTGGCACATAAACATACATGAACATCTGGTGTACTCTATCATATCTGATTTTATTATTTTAAAATGTTATATTGATTAAAAATAAATAAATAAACATATGTTTTAAATATTTTTTTTCACTCATGGCCCTGTCAGATATAACCGACACGAACAAAGCAAAATTTTGGACAGCCGCCAAAATAATCTCTGAATGTTTATTTTTTTGCGATTTTTTACACATGCTATCTCAGAGTATATACAAACATATTTGACGGTTTGATCGTTGAAACTAGTTTCATAGAATGCATATCCTATCAAATTGATAGATTTAACAAACACTTAAGAGTTAATGTTATACTTCCATTAAGTATAAAATAAGATTTATCCACTAGTGTAAATATTTTAAATTGAAGATCGAATTCATTCATTGCATTTTTATAGGATCGAGGAGTGTAACTGCAAAAAATCATCAAAATCGGAGCTAAAATAACCGTTAAATTGTGATTTTTCGTTTATAACCATCGAAAACTTTTGTTCCATTACCTAATCTCTGAATGCTTGTATTTTGCGATTTTTTACGTATGCGATCTTGGAGTGTGTACAAACAAGTTTGACGGTTGGATTGTTGAAAAACATTTTGTAGAATGCGTATCGCATCAAAACGGTAGATTAAACCAAGAGTTAGTGTTATACTTCCCCATCAAGTATAAAATAAGATTTTGTGGTATCCACTAGTGTAAATATTTTAAATTGAAGATCGAATTTATTCAATGCATTCTTATAGGGTCGAGGAGTGTAGCTGTAAAAAATCATCAAAATCGGAGCTAAAATAATTGTTAAATTGTGATTTTTCGTTTATAACCGTCGAAAACTTTTGTTTTGTTACTTAATCTCTGAATGTTTGTTTTTTTGTGATTTTTTTATGTATGTGATCTCGGAGTCTATACAAACAAGTTTAACGGTTAGATCATTGAAAATAGTTTCGTAGAATGTGTATTGCGTCAAAACGGTAGATTAATTAAACACTTAAGAGTTAATGTTATACTTCCATTAAGTATAAAATAAGATTTTGTGGTATCCACTAGTGTAAATATTTTAAATTGAAGATCAAATTATTCATTGCATTCTTATAGGTTCGAGGAGTGTAACTGTAAAAAATCATTAAAATCAGAGCTAAAATAACCGTTAAATTGTGATTTTTTGTTTATAACCGTCGAAAACTTTT